GTGCCATCTACCATCCCGTCAAACAGCCAATAAGATGATGCTCCTACTGACTGCTCAGCAGCAGCCCACACACTGCCGTCTACCATCCCGTCAAACAGCCAATAAGATGATGCTTCTACTGACTGCTCAGCAGCAGCCCACACAGTGCCATCTACCATCCCGTCAAACAGCCAATAAGATGATGCTTCTATTGACACAGCTCGGATAATGGGGTTCTTGAATCTAAACAATGTCTCTGTCTCTGGCTTTGCCAGATTCCCCCCCCACCATCAAGTTTTCACTTAATTATATAAAGAATAATTACAGGTACAACATTCATTGTATGCTGCAGACCAAAGATGAAGGTGTGCGCTTTTAGTTTGAATATTTTACAGGTCTGCACTTGGTTTTCATGTAACGAAGACGGAGTCAAAGAGGAAATTTTGGATACCTTAAAACTGTTCACACGACTTGAATGGCCAACTTCACGCTTGGGTTTTAGGTTACCTTGCTTTTGCGACAGCTGCTGTCATGGTGACCAATCTGTCATGGTTCCTGTGATGCTCATTGACATCGGTGCCACCAAACACGATGGAGTATGGCACAGGGCATTCTGGAAAAAAAAAACAAACACAACCTCAATGAATTGTGAGATAAGTGCCCTTCGGGATGTGGCTTACACCCAAAAAGGGACAGCAAAGTGAGAGGGTGTGGTTTCCAGCCCCCTCAACCATAAGGTAGACTTTGTGGGAAGAAGAACATTCAACGGTCACTGATTAAGAACTCGTTCAAGTATACTCTTATTAGATCAAGTGGCCATTTTTTTCTCATTCAATGCTTGTGGATAGGTCTATTAATGCAAGGACCCCTATTAACGAGATCTGATGCCTTACCTAGCAGTAGCCTGCCACTGCGGTAGGCATGAATGGCTAGCACACAGTCTGCTCCCATCTTGGCAATATGCTGATTGAATTCTGAGGAGCTGCTAAAGGCATCATTGTCTGCTAGCAGGCTGTCATGACCAGCTTCTTGAAGATAATCGCTGGAAATAGACAGCATCTATGTTATCATTATCGCCTACCTATGCTGTGCACAAACCTGCGCTAAAGTTTCCTCACCTGTGTTGCAGTCAAGTCCATTTACTGTTTTGTGTGTGTAATGTCCTGTGTGTTTGTAAGGAATTGAGATGGTCGCATAAATAATAATCATAATAAGTCCCTGCAAGTCTATGAAAAGCCATCTCGGTAAGCTCATTGGTCAAGTGGTTAAGACATCTCCACTAGTAAGCAGGAGGTCGTGGGTTCGAGTCCCACCTGAGTAAGCTTGTGAATTTTTTCACAAGCTTTCAGACAAGCACTGAGTATGCCGTGTTTATAAAATATATACATCGGGCAAGGGCAAAAACCCTGACATTTCCCCAACCCAATAGTACATCTTGAAAAGCTACCTAGTAGCAAGCCATAACACAATTTTCCGATGAACGGTGACAAAAAGCATTCCTTTGTCATTGCTCTTCCTGTTACTTGTGAAGGTTCTTCGGAAAGGACTCATGACTAGACTGGAGGAGGGACTTGAGATCGACTCAACAACAACACTTCTATCTGCACATTTCTCATTGACAGAGCATTGCCTGGGCAATGTAAAATGTCTGCAAAGTTTCAGACTAACAACAGCTGTAACGTCTGAAGGTCTGACGTCAGAGCAAACGTTATATCGGACAGCTGGCTGATTTGATGCAGAAGATTTCTGTATACATTCCACAATCCTTTACACCGGTGCATGTTTCTGTCCTTTTTCCACGCAGGGTAGACTTTACCTTATTCGCTGAGCAGTGCAGCAGTTTCCTGTGCATGTCTTTAGGGCTGACAGCAACAATACTTTCATAGACAGGCTGGGAATTCACTCATGTCACTGACGCTCAATATGCCTTCATAGCTACCTTTTTGCAGGGTGAAAAATACACATTCCATCAAATGAAACTTTTAAACAATCTGACAATAAGCCTTTTACGAATTAAATTTGAATAAAATCTGGTACACTGAGCTCTTTAAGGTCATGTTAACACTGTTACTATACCTGGTGATTCGAGGCAAGCTTTTGCTTAGTTACATGAGAGATGCCTTGCACCAGTACATCTGTTTTCAGTGGATAAGAGGGCATAGAGCAACCAGTCCATTCCAGAGATGGTGATCGCTGTACAAAAGCTTGCCAGAATTACAAGGCAACAGTGTCTTTAGTCTGGGAATTCAAATTGTTATGCTTATGTGCTATCAGATAACTCAGTGTAACCTGATTCTATTCAAATCTAACTCGCAAAAAGCTGATTAAGTCCCAACTAGGCAAGAATTCCACATTAGACCATCGCAATTTTCAAGTGTCCTAAAACACCAATATAAGGGCAACCTTATAATTTTAGTGGAAAATAAGGAAAGGGACTCAGTAGTTAGTAATGGCAGGGGGGAGGGGACAAGCTGGGACAGCGGGAGGGTGGGAGACAGGTTGGAAATAGCCATAATAGTAAAAAAACAGTGATCACTGATGATCTGAGAGGGAATTCCAAAAAAAAACTCAAACTGAATTCAACCCTTCTAATGTCGGGAGCGATCAGTCGATCTGCAAGATCACTTGATCTATGCATGATCAGTCAATCTGAATGCTGCAATGCACAATTTGTCTATAAATCCACGATCAGCCGATCCCCTTTTGTTTCCAATCCATGGTTGTGAACATGATGAGATTGACCAAAAAGGGAAGTAAAGTCGAAGATTTCAAACAAAATCAACTGATAGCGCCATGCCCTCTTGTGATCGTAGTGACTGACTGATCGCTCCCCACACATACATGTACATTTTACATTGAAGTGAAAAACAAAACATAACATTTTGTTTTGGGGTAAACTCAACCATGTCAACCATAACATGGCAAACACTTCACATCCGACCCCGCCTCTGAACTTCAAGTCAGCCGGCCGGCCGAACGCACCTGAGCAAATCATTCAAGCTGTAGTCGAATAATCCACGAGACTTGTCCCTTGTGAGCGCTTTATACGTGATGATGAGTACTTCATCCAGCCACACTTAATTTCAGGGGGACTTCTGCCGTGCAACGACTCTGGCCGCCGGCTTAGCACGTCCGTGTTTACATTTCACTCACTGTGGTGAGAGCGCCCTCAAGGGGTTTCGAAATTATTTTGTCAAAGCACCAGAGGGCGCCATTTGCTGCTCATGCAGGCGATCTACATTATGGATTTGTTTTTCTCTAAATAAAAACTGATAAACGTAACCTCTGCACTGAAAATCCAATAATTTGGTTTTCGTCATGTCCTACTCAGCAATTAGTGGTAGCTGTCAGTAAGAATACTTCACCCCCAATATCCCTGGGCCACCGCGAGTTTTGTCTGTGGTCTTCAATAACGATTAATAACATCAATTCGCCTTGCTTCGTCGTGGACCGAGACTGTCGGACTGAGTGCTGCAGTGCTAATCTAGTCGAGAATCAATTCCAGGGACGATCCTCGGTTAGAAGCGGTGTGTGTGAACCCGTTCGGGGCACGTGGCGTGACAAGACTACAGTTTCCATTGAAATTCTGCTGCTTTACAGTTAAAATTGCGCCTGGACCAGTTGGAAATTGCTGTTTAAATCTCAAACCCATTGAAACTCAAGCATGTCAAGGTAAGCAATATTTTTATAAGTAGGCCGTAGGCCTACTCATTGTGTAGGCCAAGGATCGTGTTGGGGCCCTAGGCCTGGGATGATTAGTGTATGTATGTCAAATGCATGATGTAGGCTACTGTACTATGTTATCATGGCTAGGCGTAACATTATCTGGTTAACTTATGTTTTTTTAACCGTCCTGTATATAAAATATAATCTGACATTTTTGGGGGTATGAAATTATATTGGTTTGCATTGATTGCATTCAGGTTGAGCCCTCGAAGTGCACTGAGAAAAGCACACAAATTAAAACTGGGGTTGAACCGACTTCAAGCATGCCAAGAGAGTGCAAGAAAGTGTTGTTTAATTTTGTTAGGTGAAAATTTTGCTGCCATCCAGTCACACTGTATATTTGATTAACATGCCAGCATCCAATTGATAATGTTACGCCCCAACTATGGCCTTGGGCAGCCATTGGGACTGGCCCATTAATAGTTGGGGCCATGGCCATAGTTAGGATGTAACAATGCTGTACCTGTGCTGTCCTCAGCCAGGCCACTTGGACCTGTAGTTTATTTTTCTTTTGGTATCCCCCAAAAGTTGTAAAATTATCCTTTTACTGTTTTGAATTTAATCCTACCAGTAATATTAAGTTGCTGGATAAGTCATTTTTCTATTTGTGATTCTGGTGGATTTTTGAAAGGAAATAAAACCTGACTTTGCACTAAGAGGTCTGAATTTATGACTCGAATTCTCATGGTATTGAAGGAATAAATGAACTGAATTGAATTTTATCTTGTGCACGTCATGGATACAAAATTATTCACAATGACAAAGTAAGAATGGAGCCAGACTAAGATTTGTTGTGGTGACATTTCTAAGTCCCCCAGAGCACTCACTGTACTGTGCATGAGAATTCAGTTGCCATTCTGGTTCAACAGCAAAACCAACACACAGTCTAGTAAACCACTTGCTTAATGTTGCACATTACAAGTGTGTGGCAATTTTAATCTTTTTTAAAAGTGCAGTAAAATACATATTGGAAGGCAGTGTTACACAGAATTACAAGTGATTGAATGAAGGGATCTATTGGCACACAGCATGTGTACCTTCCCCACCTTCATCTCACCTACATGTACCAGTACTGTACGGTATCTCCCTCGTCTACCTGTAGGCTATCTTACCCTCCTGGCCTTTACTCTTTGTTCGCAGAATCGTCCAAAACATTGAATTAACCGTAGGCCCCCTGTAAAGTGCATTCAAAAGATGTTTCAAGCCTCAGCCTTGTTCATATTTCAGATGGTTTTAAGTCCAAACTTGTGCAAGCGTGCCAGCACAGCACATGGCTGCTTCATTAAATCTTGTACCTGTTGGAAAGAATGCAACATCGTCTTCCAGCGCCAGAGTTCTGGACTTAATGTACATGTACCATGTTGAACATTGCCAGTAGAACAAACTCATTTGGCTAATATTTTTGTCCAGTTTTCTTCTGTTTGAAAGAATCATGTTTGAAACACTAAGTCATTGTTTTGCTTAAAAGTTGCATTACTGTTGCATGCCTTGACGGATAAAAATCTATATTTTTCATCTTTTAGCTTGCATATTTACAGTTTAGGTTTGCTGTTTGTACAGAACAAAACAAAATCAGAAGCAGGCTATCAGCCAGCACAGTGACCCCACGGACACATTGTGTACCAGTATCTTTGTTTTTTATTGCCCAATCCAGTTCTGTCATAATATCGACTTACTTTCCTATCACCTTTTACCAGGAAGAGCCAGTTCACTGACTGGTTTCCCGCCAAAAACCGCAGCCGCAGGGAGACACAATGGATGACTCTGACCTTACCCCGGGGTCAGGGACACCCTGTACAGTGACTGACTTATTCCTCTCCCCCCCCCTGCAGTCTGGGTCCTTTGTTACTTCTGCTTGACCCAGATAGGAAAATACTGGTAATGTCTCCCACAGGTCACTGGCTTTCCAGGGTTGGCCACAACATGAGTGCTCTTTTTCTGGTCCAGTACTTAAACGTGCCTTGAGGATTTGGCCTACGCAATGCAGTAGATATACACCAGTATGAACATTGCACAGGGTACTGTGCATCATTACCTACATATGAAAAGCAGTACAAAAGGTGTTCAAGAAAAGGCATGTCAGGGAATCTGTATGCACACAATGTACATTGTAAACACGTTATAATGTTAACATTTCCATTTTATGAAATAGTTCAAAATGGATAAGACTGGAGTTTCATGAACACCTGCATGTGCAAAGTACATTTATGCTGTTGCCCCAATTGTAGGTCTGTGCGGAATATCCGAATATGCGATCAATATTCGAATATTCGAATATTATTTTCCGATATTTGAAAATTGGAATGCAAATAGGAAGGAAGAATTTTCTTCTGTTTTAAATGAGAAAACTTGCACAATGGAGGCATACATGTATTTCAAACAGATTCAAATGACGAGTGACAGAAATCTTAGAGCGAATCAAAAAGTAAATTATTCATTAAAAAATTTTAAAAAAATAGAAATTGTCAGCAGGACAAGAAGTATTGTTTGTCTCTTAAATCATTCTACATGTACATGTAAATTGTGGCTGGAGATACATGTACTCCTAGACATGAGAAGATGTTAGTGGTGATAATGTATTATTTTGTGCGTTATTGCAACTGATATGGTTTGTTCATCAACAGTCTGCCGGTCAGTACGACCGAATATTCAGATATTCGATCGAATTGAAGGTCGAATATTCTAATACACGTAGTGAATTATTCAAATTGACTCAGCACTACCCAATTGCTCATGTGGTCCATCATTTGAGGTGTGCATGTACACTGTACATGTTCATGTACCCCATTGAAAGGCCCCTTTGTGCCTTTTGACATGTTTGAAGCCAGCAAACTATACACATGTATTGTGCAAAGTGGAAGGTGTGTCCGATGAAGACTCATGCTGTTTGTTTATCACATTGTTCAGTTATTTGAAAGAAAAAAAAGTTAGAAAGATTTCTTTGACTAAATGTTTTCCACCCCCCCCCCACGCCAGGCACATCGATATTGTTGCATTGCTGATTTTGTTTTTCTTTTGTTTTAATTGGAATGAAGCCAACTAATAATCATACAATGCATACTGGTCCATGAACACTTTACTTGCAGATCTACAGTCTACAGTGTATATATGTACAGTACGTATTGCCTGGCTTTGCTCAGAGAGTTAGAGGCATTTCAGAGCTTTCCATTGTCCAAGAATCAAAAAAGTAAAGTAAAGCCCAGTTTAATGATAATTTCCAAGGTGATGAATCTAACAACCCCGTCCTTTCAAGTACATGTGCATGTGGCAAGAGTTGTTTGGTCCCATGCATTAAACCCATCGTCATCAACCTGACTGTTTCTATTGTCCTGGTTTTGCCTTTGAAATTTCCATCTCATGGTATTCTACCAATCTACACCCCTCCCCCTTTAATAATAATGTACTGCCTCCTAGAAACCCTCGGCCCCTTTCAAGTCAGACTGCCCTGCTCCGAACAAATTTCACGCCTGCCCTCTACACCACTGGGTCTCTGGGCAACTGCTCTTCAAAACACTCCAGTAAGGTGCTCCCGACTGCACTCCGAGTGCACGGAATTGGTACAGTTTAATACTGTAAACTTGTAAACAGCATTTTCCATAAAATGCTACTGGCACGGTACAGTGTGCACAGGTACGGCCTTCATGTGTAAATGTGCATATCGCACACTGTCATGATTAATTTGATGGTAAACCAAACATTATTGGATTTCTGTGGATTGTTGTTGCTTTGTGATCGACACTTGAAAGCAATCAGCGTCTGAGGAGAAATTGAGAAAATCTTCCGGGTATTGTGCGAGCAGTTCACACATACTATTGTTATACACGTACGATACGCATAAAACGGGTACAGATACTGTACAGATACGGTGCGTTAGTCCTGTTTCTATTTGTCAATGTAATCTGCCAAAACCCGTCACATTGTTGGCTTTGTCAAATTGGTGCATACTGTATCAACTTCAAATGGATCTGGACACTGTTTTGTTTTCGAAACTGTTTAATTTGTGATTCGAGACACCTAGATTCATGTTGTTGACATCCAAGAATCAATATCTGAAAACGCATGTGTTAAGCTGAAGTTTATATGCACACAAATGACAAAGTTCGCCATGTGAAGGGTTTTTGCAGATCACATCACATTCTTACACATTTATTGGATTTCCTGAGATCATTTTACATTCTTTGTGAATTATCAACACTCATGAACTGAAACAAAAAAGTCGGTAATTGACAAAATTTAGTAAAAAAAACTATTTAGAACTGCCGTTTTTATGTACATGTACACAGTATTTAAAAACCTATTTTTGTACTGGTCGGTATCTATTGTCAAGAATTGACCCCCAGATACACACGTGTACAGGTGTACGTACATGTATAGCAAGACCTTGTATTGTAGAGAGGTACATGTACATGTACCAGTACAAAGAAAAATGGTTTTCCTCCCAAAGATCAAAGATTAATCATTAATCAGGAACAAAGCCGCGCAGAACTTGGATGCAATCAGCATGTTTTGCTCGACAGAAAAACCAGTCACAGTGGTGTACTGATTGCATTTTCTTCAGTAGAACGACATTCGCTCCACATGCTTACAGTGTGCACATGCAGTGTCCAAACAGGAGCATTGATGCATTGAAAATTTGTACATGTACATAAGTGAGAATAGAGAGTGGTGGAGAAAAAAACAAGGCAGTTTGTAATCTATTGGTGTTTATATTCATTAAATATATTTACAGAAACAGGTCTTCATGAAGTTACTTGAAAGCTCGGAAGTGAATTGTACATTTACTTATTTGTTGAGGCTGAGTTGTGCTTCGATCAGTCATGTTCTATATTGTACAGGGGTACACAGGGGCGCATCTGGGAGAGGGGAAGACGGGGAACATGGGCCAAAAAATTGTTTTGTCAAAAATGAGAGAGAAGAGATTTTTAGGGGTCTGTTTTCTTCTACTT